CTGCGGGGAGAGGGGCAGATCTGGCAGCAATGGGAGAAGAGAGTGCAGGCCTGGACCTCATCTCCCCCCCACCACCGCTCACTGAACTCCCCTCCTCCAGCATCGGGCAAAGGTTCACAGGATGCACCTGCCACAGGAGTCCGCCTCTGTCGGCCAGAAATCAGAGGGGGCACAGAAAACAGTCTCAAGGGCACACAGCGAGTTAGTGGCGGAGCTGGTGGAATCTTCTACTCTCTCACCCAGCCACAGTGACGCTTGTCCTTCTCCACAGCGCCAAACTGCCCCCCATCCCATCCAACAAGGGGAAACGCAGGGTGGGCGACACCCTTCCCCGCCCCCGCTCTGGGGGAACCCACGCCCCCAGCCGTTTGACAGCAACAGGGTTGGGTTTCTCTGGGACAAGGTTTGGCCACCGGGTGGGAAGAGGGCGAGGCGGCCGTGAGCTACTGCAGACAGCCGGCAGGAAGCCAAGGCACGCCAGAGACTCACCTGTTTGTGCATTTCGATGTTCAGGCCGTAGGACATTTCATAGTACTGCAAGGGAAAGGACACGGCGGATAGTGAGGGAGATGCCCGGCTAAGGGCCAAGACCCCACTGCAAAACCCTCCTCAGTGCACACGTGCCAGGTCAGCCAGACCCCCCCAATTCCTTCCTTTGGAGCTCATGCTCCAAACAGCTCCGCCAGGAGCAGAGCGAGCTCCCCAGCAGCCCGGCCCAGCCAACGGACACACAATACAGCCACCGACCAAACCAGGCCCCCTCCTCCAAGCCATCTTGCACCTCGCAGGCCGGCTCCCTTTCTCTTCCAGCCCAGCCAGAAAAGGGAAACTAACCAGCAGAATCCAAACCCTTCCCCTCAACTCCAGCAGAAGAGCAAGGAAGGGGCTGCACCTGCCTCCCAATTCCCTCCTCCCCCTGCACCGATCGGGGATCAGTCAGTCCCAAGATCAGCGCTTCCCTCCACCTTCCCCGGCAGCAGTAACACGCCGCAGACAGCCATCCAGGCAGAGCTCAGCCAGGCTCATCCCAGGAGCAAGGTCACGCAGCCAGCAGCCCCCCCAAACCAGGAGCCAAGGAAACCCAACCCAGTTTGTCTTGCGCTCACTCAGAGCTGGGGAAAGGGAGCGCCACCCCGCTCGCTTCAGAGGGAACACTCACCATGACGTAATGTCGCTGGATTTCTGTTTTTTCTGTTGCCAGTTTTTCACATTCTAGCTTCAAGCTGTAAAAATACAGAGAGCGAGACACACCCCCCAATCCACCACCCCCCACCAAGATGACAAGAATTAGGCGGCGGCACAGAAGCACGAGGCTTGAGTGTAACAGACTCGCACAAAACTTTGGCCTGCCCACCCTTAGCCTAAAGAACAGGGCCACTGGCAGGAATCCATTAAAGCCCATCTGCCAAGAAGGAGGGAGCAGGAAAAGGAGGATGGGGGTGTCTGTGCAGGCACACAGGAAGGAGAGCACGTCACGGTTTCTGAGCTCCAAGGAATACAGGTTGCGGGAAGTTTCGATATTTCCTCATCTGCTTTCCAAATGCAGCAAGCTACAAAGCAGGGGCGGGGAAGGGGGCACGTTTAGGGATCCCGCAGACTGGCAGCGTGACAGGCAGGGAGCAGGAAAAGGAGGATGGGGGTGTCTGTGCAGGCACACAGGAAGGAGAGCACGTCACGGTTTCTGAGCTCCAAGGAATACAGGTTGCGGGAAGTTTCGATATTTCCTCATCTGCTTTCCAAATGCAGCAAGCTACAAAGCAGGGGCGGGGAAGGGGGCACGTTTAGGGATCCCGCAGACTGGCAGCGTGACAGGCAGGGGGGAGGGGGGGGGAGATGTGCAAAAGCCCTCGTGATGAATGACCCATGTTAGGAGGTACCAGAAGGCCTGGCCATGAGCACAGGAGACCTAGACGGGCTGTAACCAGGCTGGGCAGCGCTGCACAAGGAGCGCGTTTAGGGATCCGAGGTAGCTTCTTACACTCTTGCTGCTCATTCGGCTCAAGGCTCGCGCCACCACCCGCCCACCAGCCCGGAGATAGGGGTGCGTTTGTTGCCCAGCCTGTTAAAGGGGTACCGGTCCTCACTGGCCCGCTGGGCCTTGGTAGCGTGGTACCTGTGGTACTGGTTTTGCAGGAACTGGAATTCCTCCTTGATCCGGTCTAATGTCTCTGGGTAGGTCAGTTTCAGGGACTGAGGGGTTGTAGAAATTGCTGTCTGGAGATGAGCCTGCACGGAGGGCATGGAAGGAAAAGTCATTCGCAGCCCACGCAGCCTGGGACGGACCAGGGTTCTGGGAGGGGGATCACAGAGGTCCAGGACCAGGACTGAAGAATCCCCAATCCCTGGGGCCAACTCCCAAGGGAGAGCCAGAGAGCCGGCATTTCCGGGGAAGGGAGAGTTGTCACCAAGGAACTCAGCTCCTCCAAGGGCAATCCTCTGCCAGCCTGGGCTTCCTAGCCAAGCCGGCTAACGCTGGCCCTGAGACACACGTGGGACGTACCCTCAGAGGGTCCCTGAAATCGAGCTTTTCCTAAGCCCCCAGGTGGCGCCAGTTTGAGGAGGATGCTGTTAAGCCCCCTGCAGCCAGTTAACTGGAATAAGAGGGTCCACACAGCTTTCCGCAAGGCTTGAAATTCACCCCTAGAGCTGCACCCGTGCGATTCTTGTGCCGAGGCGGCAGCATGGACACTCTCCTAGGCGGGGCAAGGCAGACAGACCAGCCTCGGGAATCCAGCCGATTAACACACGGGGTTCCCCGATGCTGCTCCACACAGGGCTGCAGGCCTGTGGCAAAGGAACGCATGTAACCAGGGCACTCACCGGGGCTCGGCTCTGGGGGAACATCTCTGGAGCAGAACAGGCCAGCTATCCCAGCCTTATCTCACGCCACCAGCCGCAGGATCCTCTCTCTGGGCCCAGGCCCAAGGAAGGCAGCCAGCTCCCACAGGCTACAGGCTCTGAAAGAGGGGGGAAGGGGACAGCTGTGTGTGACCCAAGGAAACTCAAAAGAGGAGAATCTCTTTCACTCCTGCTCTGCCAAAGCCCCACGAGCACGCACCTCCAGCCAGCCACTGCTTCTCATCTCCCCCTCCAATCAGGCAACAAAGCCAGATCCCACCAAGAACTGCTGCTTAAGTTTCAGTGGTAAGGCCTCTGCCCTACACCCCTCCTCTGTAAGTCCCAAAACAGCTAGACCCTCCGCCATTGCACATGCAGAGAAGCCCCTTCCCTGTTCCCCGGTAATCATTTCACTCAAATATTCCACCAGCCCTCGCCCATTCAGCCATCAACCTCAGGGGCCAGATCACTACGCACGGCCTAAGGTCCAACACCACCAACCCCGCATCCCTCGCCCAGTGTCATGGAGACCTCACCTGCTGCCTTGCACCTCGCTGCTGCAAGCCCCAGGTTGTCCCCCCTACTGAAAAGGCTCAGCCCCCCCAGGCACGGCTCCCAGGGCTCCCTACGCTGCCGGCCGGGGTGGAACAGGACTTCCAGCTGGGGGCAATGCCCTGCCCAGCAACGCCTCTCCCTAGCCCACCACGAGCATGTCCATGCAAATGATACCCACCCCGCCCTGCCCCGGCAGCCTCCCCACAG